CATTTGCATATCTCTCAACTTCAATTGTTACTCGTATTTTCTTATTCTCGTCAATAACTATCGTTTTATTATACATTTTACAAAAAGGTAAAGAAAAGAAGGATAGCTGAAACCGCGTTAGCACTAAATATTAATGTGTCGTATTGAAAGAAATAATGTTATGACTATAAGACGATTGCATGTTAGAAGATTCAAACCTACAAGCAAATGTGTGGCTTATTTGCTAAAAGTCAATAAACATTTAAACAATATAATGTGTGTACACTCCCATGACAAAATTCACGAGACTGTTCTAAAATTAATAGTAAATTATATTAAAAAACCTTTCTTTTCGAAGTATCTCTTGTCTGCAAGCACTATACACAGTGAAACTCGACAAGTCGGACACGACTGGCTGGGCATGGTTATCCGATTTGTCGAAGGAGTTTAATATGAAAAAACTAGAAGTTTAATTTGTGCCTACCCGGCTTCGTCGGGCAGGCTTGTTGGGATAAATTTTTAATCATAGATTAAATTTTACATGACAAAAAAATAAAAGTATATGGAAGTAAGCTGAGAAGAAGTGACTAATACATTTGTATAGTAAACGCAAGTCTATTTGTTGACTTTCTGTTTTTTACCTGTACTATTTCTGGTTGCACGTCTTTTTTTTGTACTACTTTCTTGCTTAACTATCGTCATTACTTTCTTGTTCTTCAGTATTTGTTATATTAGTGATATCGGCATAGTTTTTAGTATTACCGATTAAATGGGCGATTGGTTTTGAGATGGGTGCATGTTCTTCGTCTATATGTAACCGTATGCTTGTTGTAATTGTGACATTAAAGGAATTATCTTTAGATTTGTAACTTTGTGCAAATTATTGTCCAAGTCAATTAAGTCATTATCTGAGTTTGCGTAAGCGGTAAACTTGTATATTTGGTATCCGTCTTCCGTGTCAATAATCTCGAGATAGCAACACCTTTTTTTCGTTGTACCTTTCATCTGTGACAGAAACGATATACACAATAGCTGAAAGACTTGTAATCATATTTGATGAATAATAATAATTAGTAGTGAGCGAACGACAGTGTTAATCTTTGTATTTATAATTTTTGCTTTTTTTACATCGTTAATTTTAAATAATGTTAGATAATATAAAAATGTATTTGTCATATTTCAGTGGAAACCTTTTTTTCCGAGTACAGTTGATACAGTACGCACACTATCAGACTTTGGACAAATGCGATTGTTCCGTTGCCGATGCGATATGGACGAGTAGAATCGAAGTCCGTATTGGCCCGCGTAAACATAACGCCTTATTTGATTGATGTTTTGCAATAGAGAGTATGGTTGCGGTTTTAGGAATAGATTTACCGCGCGGTAAAAGATTAAGATTTTGACGGCTAGTGATTTTTTCTTGAAAGATGGTTACGGGTAAGTTGTGGATGTTAGCGTCTGATCGTCATACAATGGCTGATTTTCTTTAGTTTTTAGTTTTTCTTACTTCTTCCACGCACATTCCCCTTTCTCTCATTCATTTATTTGGCGTGCTTGTTTTCTTCATCCGCCTTGGGTAGCATGTGTTTTATTAATGTTTTCTATTTGAAAGACGGTTAAAGATAAGAGCGTTATTTTTTACGATAACTGAATTGTCGAACTATTAAATGTTTGTATTGATTTATCGTCAGCCACATATGGCTTAGAAAAAATTTACTGCGGTAAAAAATTTTGAGTGACGAATGAAGATAAGCGTCGATGTTAGCGATAACTGATTCATGTGCTTGTTGAACTATTCAATGTTAGCATTGGTTGATCGTCACACTTATATGGCTGGTCACATGGTCTTTATAAGTAGATTACTGCGGAAAAGTTTCAGACTGATGTCAACATTTGATTTGTCATTGATGATTTACTTGAAAGACAGTTGCGGATAAAGTCGCAATATTAATATTAGCGTTATTTCGCGATAAGCGATTTGTTACTTGCTTGTCAAACTCTTTAATGTTAGCATTAACTGATTGTCTTAATTCCTGTTTTCTAGTAAACGTCTACTTTCACTTATGACTGCTTTCTACACACTACAATTAAAGGAGTAAATTCATTGTGTTGATTGTACGGGAACAAAACGAATAGATTGTTTGAACAGATTGTCATGTATAAACAGAACTGTGTGACGGTGTAACACGAAATTTTTTTGTGACTCCCACAATTTAGCTTATATAAACAACCTTCCTCCCTTATTCAATTTATCATTAACTTGAATTGAATTTAAAAACAACGTTTCTATACGTTTAGACTAAATTCGGATAAGCTTAAAAAATTTAAAATTTTAACCATGCCAAAATTAATGTACTCGTACCTTTTGCAAGCCTGACAATAACGTACAATAAGCTAAGTAAAATATTAATGTGAGTATTGTGAACGTTAATATCAGATTTAAGGTGTATAAGTTATTCGAATCTAGTAGATGCCAACCTCGCATAGCATACTTTTCGCACAAAGTTAATGTTTACACTCGGCCATGATTGATCTACATAAACAAGTACTATATTTGAATTAGCTCGTGATGTATGAAAACCGTTTCTAATGAATTGATTAACTGTGTGTCATCGTTCAATTGAAATATTCAAACTATACTTCCTCGATAGCAGATCTTGCATTTAACCTGACATTTCTTCAATTTCCTTTTTTATTGTACTTACGCAGTTTGGCCAAAAAGCAATTTGTATTTTTAGCATCGCCTCTGTTACGAGTACCTCACTTTCCCATTGCCCAATCAAACTATACTTTTTTGGACTGTGCTATGATTTGATTATTCTAGCTATGTTCGAATTAGCTTTATTGACAAAATAAAATACAACAATCGAATGCAAAATTCTTTTTATTACGTCTCTATATGGATCGAGACAACTGAGTGTGACTGGGTTCTGAACTGAGGATTATTACACAAAAAAGGTAAAAGCGTACTAAATTGCTCATTTGAGTCAATAAATGCCCATCAGAAAATCAACCATACTTTTTTGGTAATTACAATTTGCATGGGTAATTGATTGACATAGCTATCGCGAGGAACTTTTATTCACAACGAGATTTGATTGACATAGCTCACTCAGGATGACATAAAACAATCGAATGCGAAATTTATATTACATCAATGTCTTTGTTGCTGGACTATATAATAAGTGGCAGTTAACCCCGGAACGAATACTTTTGTATATCTTCGAAACCATTATGTAGTCTCATTAACTTGAAGAAAGAAGCACCAACACAATTCAACGAGGACGTATCTTATCCGTGAACATCAATGTAAATTTAGATTCCTCTCCACATTACGTAAAAAATTGCGTAGTGCAGACCGATACCCGATTCCGTTCGCTGGAGAAGAAATGAGGCCAAGGTAAATAGTGGTTTGAAAGCATAACTTTGTAATAGAAGTTGTTATAGAGGTAATAAGTAGAATTCACGAAAAGGAACGTGTATACCCGTTTGTGATTTGGTAAAAAAAAATTTTTTTTCGATCAACTTTTTCGACCATCACAACTTAATGAACAGAACGATGAATTGTATCAAGAGATTAACATTGTCATGTGTTTATCTCCTCGCTTTGTTGAAATACATTTTATGTTTGACTAGGCATATTATTTATATTCAACAGGATGAAGGCATGAATATTATATATAGCAGATTTAGAAGCAGCCACAAAGTAGATCGGAGGAAGAATCTCACTACGTAATAATATCACTACTTTTACAGTGCAAACCAGTCAATATGTCTCCGGTACTGGTCCCACGATACAATTTGCAGAATTTGACATAAGAATCCATCACAGTGCCGAAAAAAACCCTGCATGAAAGAACTACTCGGTTCAAAAGTGTCAATTGTAGGCGAATTAGACATTTATAGCAACAAACTTTGTGTTAAACTTCATAGTTTTGACTTTCCATCCCTTAATATTAACACTTCACAAACAACTTCAACAACCATCCCACCCCCTTTAACAAAAATCACTCATGTACGAAAACGAAAACGACCTAATAAAGCAGATAACCCAACCCCACGTATTTCAGAAAATCAACATCACCGATTCCTATCTACGATAGAAAGCGATCGACATACGATATTGTTCATAGCTTATCTTCTCTATTAGTACAGTGGACTCTCCCTAAGTGCAGCACTATATTTTCCCTCCCTAAATTCAGGCCCGAGATTATAAGACCATTAAGTATTTTACTCTATAAATGCAAGTTGTGTCTGATTTGGCCAATGGTCTCATGTCGTGTTGCAGTAATACATTTCAATAGCCTATTCGTCACAATAAATATGCGTATGTAAATCCTTTGTCATATAACCATGAAAGAAAGACCATATTACACAAATTTCCTGACGCCAACAGGGGTGAAGCCCCTCATAAATTCTTATCTAGTTACATGCAGAGGAAGAGAATAAAGCCCTATATTTGGCATAAGGCATCCCAAATTGTGAGCATGGCTGCAGATTGGACGAACGGAGAGGTGACTCCGCTTTAGCCTATCCCTTTTTAGGCAAATTTATCAATGTCACCACGAAAGGTCTTGTACCACTCTGACCTAAGCAAACAAAGTTAGACAAAAATGAACCCCCAACTTATAAAAGTAGGAACTTCAATTCCGGGTTTGGAATTTATCTTGGTCCTAACTTAAGAAACTTTTTGTTTGGATCCATTAGCAATCCTATATCATTATGTTTGATATATTTAAATGTAGTAAACGTAAAAGTGAACCCTCGTGGGTTCGTAAGCTAAAAATAGCGACTACCATATTCTTTTCGGGGTGTATATTCGCCTACTTGGGCTGGCTTTGCTTCGAACTGAGTAGATTTGAGAAGACTCTTATATATTCCCGAGATAATACTAAAGGACTTCCTTCGCCAAGTAAATGTCAATAAAGTAAAGATACATATAAACAATTCCACGCAAATTGGCTAATATTATTACAGATATTATCTTTAGTTCCATTTATAATTTCAGTACTTCATGTAATATGGTACAATATGGTATGTAGCGAAACAAGAATTCAATATCTTTATTAACTATTCTGTTTATACTAAACATTTCAATATTTTTGATAGATGGACAAGTCTCGAACTCCGAATGCGATTCTTATCTGGGACTGTCTAGTTTTGATCGGACCACGAAATCGTACATAATAAAATTCACTCCACAAGGCTTCAACTACCCTGATCCAGCGAGTCACCATTATGATAAAAATGTGATTCGTCGGATAAGCTTCGGATTTGCTATAACTGATCCATTTTATCCACTTGGTGGGGATGCTCAAATGTCTGCTTTCTTGTTTGATGCAGGTGAGTGCGTTTCTTCATGTAAAACGTTGATTTAATTGTATCAACAATACTCATGCTAACATATGAAAACAGAATCGCAAGCAGTTTCAGAAAACAGTCAGAAATATTCAGAGGCCGAAGTCAACTCTACGGTCTATTCTAACATATACACACTTGGGAAGAGTCAGGTAAAAGCAAATTTGAAAGTATTGACCACAGTATATCTAGTTACTTACTTTCTGTTTAGCACAACATCTTCAAGATAGAGCGCACTATCCGCAAGTTTATAATTTCAAGCGTGCAGAATGTTCTTATTGGAAGACCTTATTTTGTAACCTTGCCCATGCTGAGTAGCACATACGGTACGTATCATAGTAATGTTTTCAAATACATTTTCTCTCCCCTAACAAATTTATAGCCACATACCCGCTTGTTAATACCAGTAGCAACATTTATGCGCGTGCTTCTGTCGAACCTTCCTCCTATATAGTTAATACTGAAATAGAGAAATCGTAAGTTAATTGTTGGGTTTGCATCTACAGTTGAACACTAAAAGTGCACATAGGGGTACTCTTGCCATAGATGTACTAAAATATCGCCTTATTTTTATTGGTTATTAGTAATATGACTTTACTTGATGTCTTAAGCGCCTTAGGAGGTATGTATTCTTTAATTATGGCATTCTACGGAATACTGTATGGTAAGTGAATAAGTGAATAAGTGAATCTACATATATTCTCTCTTAATAATTATATTTGTGATGGGATAATAACAATAATTCTCAGGTGATAGAGCCATTGAACCATGGGGTTTGGTCCAGAAAATGAGGCACAAATCTGTTAAAAAATTTTTGGATAAGAAGGTTAAGATTACTGCCTGGGCTGTTAAGGAAACTGACACAGTTGAGGATGCAGGAACAATCACCGTAGTAGATGAACAAGCGAGCATAGCTGATGATGAACAAGCGAGCATAACTAATGATGAACAAGCGAGCATAGCTGATGATGAACAAGCGAGCATAACTGATGATGGCGGCGAGGAAACAATGGAAGAACTCAAACGTAAACTTGGTAGATTGCAAAAAAGACAAGAGTCGTTGGAAAACTTTTTGCAAGATTATGTTGTTAATATGAGCTTTTATAAGAAGGATGGGATAAAGTTTCCAAAGTGTTTGTGTGCTTAAGAGAAAGATTTTATTTAGAACATAGGTTCTCCCAGCAATGGGCTCATGTAGGACAATTTTTACTGCAAGGTATCGATGTTCGGATTTATTTATTGATTGATTGATTAGGTTTAACTCGGATTTTATTGTTATTGGCTAATTTTTGTAAATAATATTAATAATTTTTGGGTGCTTATATTTTGGTGTAAACATATATCTGATGTTATATATAAACCCCAAGCTGCAACTGTACTGTACATCAATCTGCTACTAATTGTGTGATAGAAAAATAGTGCAATTATTTGATATACAGTATATGATAGCACACTAGTGTTACCTGAAAATAACGTCGTGGTCGATTAATTCTGCGCAGATTGCATTGACCCATCCCAATTTATTAAACGTGCCAATTTGGTTAACACTCGAAATTATTGTTGTGAGCAAATTTCAACAAAGAATTTATCTATAATATAAAATAAAAATATGATACAATATGAATACACATTGATAATAACTGATAACCCGCCATGCAATTTTTCATGTTAAAAGTCACGAGTCAACTACAAATAAAATGTAAAAATTGGCTGTAAATCGCTTGTCGAATGCTTTACCGTTGCTCAACATTTCTACTACAGTTTTGTAATCAAAATACACGCGGCTAGACGCACAAACTTTATTTTAAACCATAATACTAACGCTTTATTTCGTTCAATATCCAAAAATTTATTTACAACGTTTAGTGCCTTTTTCCATATCGCGTTTGACCTTGTTTTTTCTTGACAATGCAACCAAATCCATTGGTTTAATTTCCAGCGCTGTATTTAGATCATTTAATACCTTATCATATTGACAAAGCAAGCAATGAACGTTGCCTCTCTCTGTCAATGTATATACATGATTTGGTCTAATCTCCAACGATTGATTAAAATCGGTTTAATGCGTTATCATACTGCTGGAGCATGACATAGACTTCTCCCCTTTTCGTCAAAGCCTTTGCATTATCCGGTCTAATCCCCAACGATTTATTGAGATCATTCAATGCGGCACCATATTGCTCAAGCTAGTAATAAACGTATAGATACTATACTCTCCGTAACAGACTTTTGCTGCTTCTGGCGCACCATAGTTAGCCCCCGTAATATTTTATGATAATCATTCTACAGTGCAGTCGGTAGAAGTAAAGAAGAGAACAGCATCCCTCCGATGAACTGCAAAAAGTTTTACGCCTACTTTATGAAGAAGATTACGCTCAGTTTCCATGCATTCCCTGCTTTTATTGCTCGCGTTATTGCTCGCGTTATTGCTCGTGTTATTATACCCGCAATCTGCAAAGTGGGTAGTCAGAAATAATGACATTACTTATCCTTTGCAAACATATTTCCAAATAAAATCTTACTATACTAATCCACGCCTAGCCAAAATTGCAACTTGCTAATAATGCAAATCAAATTCAATAATAATCGAACATGCCTTACACCAATATACCAAAGAAATATCAACATACTACCAGTCTAAGTGTTTTTCTGGTAATAGATTTCTAATACACGTTAATGGCATAAATTCTCCTGCAGTAATTCTTTTACAACATTGTTTTGCTCTCACAGTGGTCTCGAGGCTAACAACGCCACACATCTTTCTACATCTGGATAAACAATTTTTCGCTACTGGTCAAACTCAGCCGTGCACCATCGTGGGACGTTGTAGAAATTCCCTGCTTAGATAAACAAGCGTTTGCCGCTGTCATATGCAAATATGAACGTCTCGAAATAAAACTATAACCCATCCACTTCATTTTTTAATCCACACGATTGGCCTCATATTCACTATGACCTATTGATTTAATTAGCCATATTTTCGTTACTATCGAATCATATTTCATTATTTGTGAATGAATCAACAAATTGATACTACTTACATTTTCCCGAAAATCCACTAAACCTATTTAATTTTGTTGACTTACTATTAATAGGAAGTTATTGTACATGATGTATATATGAGACCGATAACTCGTATTTCCCATTTCCCGTAATATTCTTGTCACAACTACTAAAACAAGCTTGATTATTTCTCCGGCACAGAAGGACCAATAAAACAATATCTTATTCAAAATGATACTTTCTCAGAAAGGTATACCAAATAAACTATTTACTGTAACTACTCATTGCTCGCTCATTCATTACTATACATTTTTCCAGCGCTCTACCTTATCAAGTGTGTTAATACAATAAGCCGTACATACACAGTGTACTAAACCGATGACTACGTATCTTCCATTTCCGCAAATATTTCTTATAATGATTCCAATACCAATAAAGATTGAATGACTATATTTGTGCTACACACAGTACGTAACAATAAAAATCTTATCCAAATTCCTTTCGCTAACTACGCAATCAAATTTCACTTCCCTCTCACAAAACTTCTATCTATATATTGCTACTAACAATAAAGTCTTATCCAAATCTCTTTCGTTAACTACTATTATGTCTTTTGCTGCACAACCAAAATGACACTGTTCACATTTAAACTATTTAGCTCATCGCTCTCCTAATTTATCAATTATACCAACATAGTAAAAAATTACGTGAAAGTTAATCTGATAACTTATACCATATTTCTATTATTCTTGTAAATATTCTTGTATCAGAAAAGTACAAAGAAAAAAATTAATATTTATTTCAATGCACCAAATTATGCATCATATCCAATGATTCCCTTGGCTTTCGCTACGCTTTCATGCACTTTAATATAATAGTGATACTGAAAAATGTGCCCCCTCTATAAATGAGGCAGATACGTGTATTCTCCCTTCACGCTGTACATCTGAAAAATCCAAATTTTTATCATACTAGATCTCTTTGCTAATAACAAAAAAAAACATGTTTATTCACTTGACTCCATTACCATTCACTTCGATGTCTACATACCAAAAAATACCCTGACTGGTCCGTAGTTGATGACATCCTTGAATTAGCTGGCGCTGTCACGAAACTAGAAGACATGCCGCTACATACAGTACGTATAAATTAGGTTACATTCTTTCAATTAAACAGTCATGTAAACATCTATTTATTTCCACTCTACAGATCAAACCATTCAAATGTCAGAAGTACCCCTTGCTCGAACTCGGAAAATTTTAATAGTAAAATTGTTTGGATATAACGAAGTTAATTATAAAACCCTCGATATTGGATATCCGAAATCCACGATAAATGATCCAATCCAACGATATGAACAACACCAAACGGTTACCAGTCTTCCAAGGACTGAATGAAATGGGAGGCAATCATTTCATCGACAATCATTTCACCGACAAATACTCACCAACATTATTTCGAAGTTATCCTTTTTTGGTAGTTAATTGTCGGTGAAATGATTGTCGATGAAATAATACGGACCCGAATGAAATATATCGGAAGAAGAATCGAAAAATTATCTTGCTTGTAGATGATGTTCTCAAGTCACAAGACTGATAACCTCAAACAGTCGAATGTTAGAGTAATTTTTTTACCACCGAATACTACTAGTCAAATACAACCTCTTGACCAGGGCATAATATACAGTCTGAAGGTTATTAATTGTTTAGTCAGGCTTATTATTATCGCGTCTTTAATGAAATAATCTAACTTCATCTGGTTAACTAATTTCTTTAGGCTCAATATCGCAAGATTTTATGCTCATATCTTATTGATCAATATGATGCTCGTCTTGTTGGTTGCACTGCAGTTCCAAAACTCACAATTTTGGAGCAGTTAATTTTTTCGTCGCTGTTTGGAATCAGGTATTATCTAAGACTATAATGTCTTCTTGGCGTTGTACTGACATCCTCCCACATAGTATAATTGAACGAAGTTCATCGGAAATGGATATTGCTCCAAACGAGACTCATGAAACTGAAATTGAGATTGTGAATCTTATTCAGCAATTGCCGATAGATAATCCAGTAAGCGTAGAAGACTATATAAATATCGACAAAGCTATCGACTTGAACAATAGTGTTGATGATGACACTTTAATGTAGCAAATAGTTGACACTGTCAACCAAGCTGACGGTCAAGAAGACGAAAGCGTTCAATCGGAACGGCTTGTTACCAGTTCAGAGGCTTTAGTTGGAATTGATAGCGTTTTGGCATATATTGCACAGAAAAATCTTGGAGTAGAATTGTCGGTTATTAAATGTTTGACCAAATTAAGAAGTACAATATCACGAAGTAGTATAGAATTGGCACGTCAAGCAACGCTTGATGAATTTGAATTTGTAAATATTGAATACTCTTGAATTACGTGCGTAATAAAGATATAACGGAACTTCTTTATATAACAATGCGTATTACTATAATTAGATATATGTACGAAACCTGGATATAACGAATCCCTCGATATAACGAAGAAAAGTGTCTGCACCGTCTCCTTCGTTATATCCGGTTTCACTGTGTATTCGTTAATCGTTCCCTTCTTCATTACGTATACAACAGGGAGCGAGAGTAATATTCTTAAATAATTCCTCGATAGAAAAGCGTATCTGCAATGGAACAATCGGAATTGTTACGGATTTTGACAAAGAAACACTATCCGTTCAAGTAGCATTTTGTGTCCAAAATGGAATAATACACTGCTAGGTATCTCGCTACTTACACATCTTACTTCTATGCAGCAGGCCAAGCTTGCGTATCTATCAGTCGCTGTCCAACGTGGGACACTATTAACATAGCTTCCAAGCGTAATCGAAGAGTATTACCGTTTGCAAAAGTTAGCTAAACAACATTTACCGCGTGAAACTGATTATACACGTACCAATGTATCTTGATGTTCTGTATTTCGTAAAAACAAAATTAAATAAATTCTTATATTCCTAATCAATATATTCTTATATTTTAATCAACTTTAATTTAATAATAATCCCCCGTTTATCTTCATGCAGGTTAGATTATTATTATACTCGTCGTACTTCGCCCGGTCGACATAGTCGACCGGGCTCGGCACGACTGCTCTAGTTTACATATGACTAATTTATTGTAATA